GACCGACGGTACGCGTTTGGCGGCGAGCCCACTGCCAAGTACCTCAACCTCGTGTGGGGGGACGAGCGGTCGGCCGCCAGGTGGCGGATGACGGAGGTCGCCGACTCCCCTCCGCTAAAGGAGGAGTTCGAGCATCTCGTCCGGGAGTCGACTCGGTTCGGAGGGTACGTGCCCTCGAGGGACGAGGTCCTCGAGAAAATCGAGCTCGTAGAAAACGTGCGCGCAGGCTCGGACGAGATGCGGATCGGGTGGAACGACGGGACGGGTGGTGGGAGGGAGGCGGCCCGGCTAGCGGAGCTCAATCAGAGGAACCGGGTCGAGAATTTCAAGAACACGACATCGTCAGGGGGAACGGGCTGGGCTAGGGCCCACGACTCGTTTTCGAGGAGGTGGACGAAACCGAGGAATTACTATCACGTGGGAGGTTCGGGCCATGAGAGTAGTTTGGTGGGACCGGAGGAAAGAAGTCGTGGGCTGGCCCAAATGGCGGGCGTGGGCCCACATGTCAATCGGGGGATCCGAGAACCTAACAAGCTGCATGATTTCGAGTTGAGGGTCTCGTTAGTGGGGCTCGAGAAGTTCGGTGGGCCCAATGGGGTGAGGGACGGGTACTTGGCGAACAAGGGTCGAGTCGAGGGGAGGCAAGGGTTTAGGGTCCCGGAGGATGACGTAGCAGCTCACCCTAGGGCGATGAGCGTAGAGGAGTACCGGAGGAGAAGAGGCCTCATCTGATGAGGGCTTGGTGTGTAGTGTGTGATGGATATTAGGAAGAGTCGAGTCTACCGATAACTTGCGTGTTGATTTTAATTTTACAGTTGAACCAACACACACTCATGTGGGTATGTGTGTATATGAGTGTCGATTCAACGGTAAGAAATTCGATGGTTGTATTTTGCAGTCACGGTAGGTTGAACTTTGTACAAAAAAAAATGTTGTGGCATTTTATGGTGTGTGAGAATATAGGGCATGTAGGGTTTCGTGACAATATTTTGGCGCAATATTGTTCACAAATATTCCACACGCACTACTTACGTTAAAACTTAAAACAGCGTCAACATATTCTGCAGGTGGGTTCCCATCTCGGTCGGAATCCCGCCGGAGGCGGCCACTTTTTTGCCAGAAATTGTCGCCGGAAAATCAAGAAAATTCTTTTCTTTACACTCCACAGCAAAACGTCATCCCCTCCGGCAAGTACTCGGTCCGAGATGAAAGCCCAACCACAGCATTGGAGGCAAAAGAGTGAGGAACTTTTTTTTGCTACAATTTCAAACTTTGAGCAGCTTATTCTCTTCTTTAACTAGTGTAATTTTTAAGGTGTAACAAAATTATTTGGTGAAAATGATGCCCATATGCCAAGAATAGGAAAAATTAGGACAAGAAGAATCAAAGGCCAAGCTCTCTACATATCTTATTACATCTTCAGGACAAATTATTAAAAAAAAAAAAAGATTAATTATATTATGAAAATCACTCATTTAGTAGTAAAATTACTCTCTTAAGATTTGAAAAAAAAAAAAGGAAAAAATAAACTCAACCATCTCATATTCATCAACTACATCAACCATTCAAAGACTTCAAATGGCCCTGATCAAATCAAACTTCAAAATCAGTTCTCAGTACACAAAGTTTATTTTATAAACAAAAGCTGCCTCACATAAACCATTCCTAATTTATTCAAACAAATCACATAAAAGAAAAAAAAAAAAAACAACTTACAATTCTTCAGTATATATGGTGCACCTAAATTTGTCCCATCCTTATGCCCGTATCACGACTTTGTGGCACGAACCCATCACCCGTTTTCGAGTAGCTCACGTAGTAAAGCTCGGATAGAATCCCAGTAAACACTATGCATGCAGCCCCCGCGCCAAACACGCCCTTCCTCAAAGTCTCGCAAGAAGGAGGATTTTGCGTAATGTATGTTCTGTACTTAGTGTGATAAGCGTTTCTTACAGAACCAGCCAGCAAGCAAATCTCAGCAATCATGAATGTCACCCTGTGTAATTACTAATTATCGTTGTCAAATTCAAGAAAGAGAGAGAGATGATTCAGGACAACAGGATTTGACTTTTCCTTTAATTTTTCTTGGGTAAACTAGCCGATAGCTGATAAACTAGCTTATAGCTTATAAGTGACTTTCAAGCTTATAGCTTATGACTTATAACAAAAACGTTAGCTTATATGATAAAAATGTTTTAGTACATTAGCTCATAAGCTAGCTGAGATAAAAATTTCAACGAGCTTATTTTAAAAGCTATCCAAAGAAGCTTATAAGCTATATTTCAAGAAGTTTATAAGCTAATCAAATAAGTTATAAGCTATATTTTATTCGGTTACCAAACATAGCCTTGTTCGATTTTGTTGTAGAACTATCGGATGGCATGGGATATGAAGTCATTTGCAATTATTCACAAATAATGTATTGTTCTAAAATAAATACACCGTAAAACATGTGTCCATACATAAATTCATTCATGGATGACTCCACAAGGGAGCTATTCCTTGTGTTTTGTATATTTTTTCCTTTTGTTTAATTCAATTTAAATGTCATTATAGAACTATTTTACCACCACTTTCAAATGTACTCTCTTACTTATTTCAAGATTAAAAACTAGGTTATGGTAATAACTAATAAGACAATAGTGAGAAGAGATAGAGAATTATAAACTATGGAGGAATTATTTGGGGGGATATAGCCAATTTTTTATGTTCCTTGGGTCTCAATAAAAACTCCAAAACAATTATTCAATACAAATGGAGTATACGTTCAATTTGCTTCTGGAAATTCTTCTTTCTACTATTCGTCAATTTCGAAAAAACTTTTTAGTAGTAATGTACTATGTATATATAACTTGTTCTGCATTTACAAATCACACCATCAAGATTCGAGTGTTATTTTGTCAAGTAAAATTGAATCGATGATATGGTGCAGAACAATTTAGGTTGGGGAAAAGAATGTACCAGCAAGTGATGAACAAAACAATTGCCCAAACCCTCGAGCGACCAGGCCTTAAAGCCCGCCCACAGCACAAACATCGACTAGCGACCATTATCAGTAGCTGACTGGCCAAAAGGAGCAAAAACGAGCCCACGCCTAAACCAGTTGCTATGTCCGACTCGTAAACACAGTGGTTAGTGTTTGCATCGATGGCCAACCTCGCCTGCAAACGATGTTTAAATTGACGATTTTTGCCTCAGACACTTCGAATGTTTGATAATTTGCCCCTTTCTTACAAAATCGAAGGAGGTCACATACTAAAACCAGACATCAAATACTGCAAATTTCCAGCAAGTAAATAAAATGGAGAACCAGCACAATTACGAACTAATTAGATCCCCCGAACAAAACTCATGATAATAATGAGTAATGAGGATCAATAACAATAATCTTCACCCAAAAAAAAGGTAGAATTGTGTTGAATTAAATTCTGCAGCATTAACAGTAACCACACAAGGAATTACATTGTTATATCATTTTCGTTAAAAAAGAATGATGGGATGGACACGTCTAATGATCAGTCCGCGTCCGCCTTACACAAGAGTTTATGCTTCGAAACATAATTAGTGATACTAAAACAATGCTGAAGTACTAGTTGAGTTGAGTTGAGTTACATTCTGCCTCGAATATATACAACCTTTACAAACTATAAACTTCAACACTTACAACAGTATTCACAGATGGAGAGATTAAAGGGCAGAGGGACAATGTACTTCGAAATGGATCAAGAAAGTGGAATCAACATTT